TTACTAAAAGGCCAAACCTTTTTTCAGATTCGGATGGAGCGGTGAGGACTTAGATCCCCTGTCAAGTTTGTATTGGTGTCTGTGTCCTTGTTAGGGAGATTTGGTCTCTCTAATTATCTTGATCATCAATGTCACTGGGGATGAAAGTAAGGGTAGATTCAAAATATTGAGTTATATCATCCCAGGGGCAAATTTGTTCTCTGTACTTAAGTTCCTGAGTCTGTACACCTACTGTGGCTATTATAAGAGGCTCCCACTTTACATGCTGAATTTTATTATATTTTAATTATGGAAAATGCAGCGGGATGTAGCAGAACTACAAAAACTGGAAAGGAACAGCCAGAACTCCAGAAAGACCAGAACAGGTGATGAGAAATGATTATGGGGAGAGTTCACAGTTGGAGTATCAAAGACGTATCTGTTGCTAAAATATAACTTTTGGGTAGACTGAGCCTTCGAACTCCAGTCATCAGCAGGATTTTGTTTTGCCCCTCAACATGTTATAAAAAAACACATGACATGATGGAGATCAATAAGAAAAGATAGAGAAGAATAGAAAACTTACTCAATTAGCCGAGAGCAGGGGTGCATTTATCAGTATTTATACATGTTCCCTTTAATGCAGAAAACCATTGCTTCATTCAGGCTCTGCTTGCTGGTTCCATTCTCCATCCTGATTAGATTTTGGTCACTGTGTTCTGTCCTGAGCCTTGGCCGTGTACTTCTCTTACCTTTGTCACTCACTTTTGTGCAGGTTGACATTCTGGTGACATGTTAGGATGCCTCTTTTTAATGTATGTCTCCCGCTGTGCTCCCTTCTCTACCCTCTGATTGTGCTTTTGCTTCTATATGCTTCTGCAGCACACTGTGTAAGAAACACTCTCGCCTTAATCGCCTTGCAGATCATGTGCTACTTTGCTACTTGGTGTCACACCAGCAATCCATAATTCTCAGCTTCCTTCTTTTATTCCAGCTTCAATTTTGCATCTGATGTGTTATATGGCTGCCCCTGCTTTGTCGCCCTTTTGTGTTCCTACTGTATATCTTCATGCTTTTGGCATCATGTTTTTTTTCAGTGCTTTTGGTATTGCTTGCAGTCACTGTGTTGTCTTTTGTGCTTCCCTCTGTGGTCACTGTGCTGCTGGCTGTGTGTCTCACTATCCTTCCTATCTGTTCTCCTTGTTTTTCCAGAAAAGAAAGTCCAGTTCCAGTGTCCAGTTGATGGTGAGTCTATGTTTTGTCTTATTCAGTGCTGGTTCCTCTGAGTCCCAGTATGGAGCTCTACAGTTCCCTGTAATCAGAGCAGTCTGGAAAAGGGGTGAGAAATTTACAGATACTGAACAATAAATCTTCAGTGCAGCAATAAGAGCTGGAAAACTTCTTGGAAGGCCTAAAAGGCTTAAAACTTCAGACTGCTCAATTTACAAGGAGTTTTGGTCTGCTCAGAATGGCACAGGGCAAATCATGTTATTTCTACGAAAAAACATATTTTTTAGTAGACAGGTTCAGTTTTGTACACTGGCCACATGCTTGGGGATGATCTGATGGAACCACTACATGTAGAGGAATTTTATACAAGTACTCTGCATCATATAGATATTCCAGATAGAAGTCAGCTACTGAAGACAACAATTAATGTATAGCAGAGACGTCTTTAATATTGATTGCACCCCGGGAAAATATTTTCTTGTATCCCCCAATGTGATTTCACTCTTCTCCCCAACATCCCAAAAACAAACAACCACACACATAGACTTACCTAAAAAAAAAAAATCATTACACAGGATTTCCCTCCTCCATCATTACACAGGACCCCCTCCCCCATACTACCCCATTCATTACACAGGATCCCCTTCCCTCCCTCCACAGACCCCTACATTGCCCCTTCTCCTCACAGCGGTCTCACCTTGATATTGTCCAGAGGTTGTCAGGCGAACACCAAGCACGCCCTGCCCAACCCTCTGGCAAAGAGGTTCTTCAGCGCGCCAATGGTCTGTGTCTTGTCTGACCTAGTAAGGGAGAGGGGTCAGTGTGACTGTGCTTGGAATTGGCAGGCACTGTCCCCAAACAAGGGTTACCTTACCAAGCTGATCAATCACCGTACAGGCTGCAGTCATGACACCCATCCAAACACCAGCGCCCCCAACATTCAATTCCACCCTCATCTCCTGAGCGATAGCCAAATCCACGTATCAACTGTTTGTGGGCAGTGCGGGCTCGAGGAGTAGCCCAGATACTTTAGGGCACACAATAATGACTGGGATCGGGGCAGCTGTACCCTTTGACCCCTTGTTAAAGACAGCCCCGATGTGTAGAACTCACTAGAGAATGGCATAATAAAGTGTAAAGGTCTGTGGCTATGGGCTTTAGGGTTGTGTGGATGGCCAAATGCAGCTTGCTGCTTTAACATTGAATATAAGATCAGTTTGCAATGCTTACATGTTTCACATAGTTTCCTTCACAGGTGCAGTTGACCTTCTGTCCTATATTTGATCTCCTTCTAAGGTGTATCAACCTGATTCCAGCTGCTTTTGCATTTCCATACACTTGTATGGGGAGAAAAGCACCTCTGATGTGAACTAAAGCTGGTCAACACAGACCCCTAGAATGCCCTAAACACTGTAGCAGTTTCTCATTAAGAATACACTGAAAATCCCCTTTTACACTTGTTTGTAAAAGAAAGAGAAGCTGGACCGAAGAGTGCAAAATGTGGTGCAGCCCTGTATAGAAACCAATCAGCTTCTAGGTTTTATTAACCAAAGCTTAATCGAACAAGTTGAAGTTTGAAGCTGATTAGTTACTATGCACTCCTGCACTAGATTTTGCGTGCTCCAGTTTTATTAAATCTTCCCAAATATTTTGCAAATGTTGAAGAGAAAAAGTGGTATGAGACATGTCACTGTTTTTTTCCCTTCTCTGGTATTCTCGCTTCATCTCAGAACTTCACAGTGATGATACCTAACCTTCCTAAACCTAACCTCCTGGAAATGCTATTGTAACATGCATACCCAAAGCTGAGGCTCATAGCTGGTTGTTTTTTTTTTATAAGTGGAATTATTAATTGTAACTCCACATTTGTTATAAACTGATGTAAACTGATAAAAAAAATAGCTTTTAGTTGGCTGATTTAGTAAGGCATTGCAAAAAGAAGCTGTGATGTGAAAAATCCAGAAACCCAGTGTCATTATTGACCTCCTTAAAATGAAAGCTGCTTGGCTGTTATGATATCCAACGGGCTTTGTTACTTTGAGTCACTAGCTTGGAACAAGTATGTAGATCTGTAAAGATGAAATAAAAAACCCAGCAGCCTTTATCTGCATTCTTGTTTCAGGTCATCACATCAGTGTTTTGAAGCAAAAGTATAACAGTCAGGCATCTGGCATTTTCAGGAGAGTTTATCAGTGCAAGCCTCCATGTTTTTCATGAAATGCTTTCTTTGATTGAGATGTGTACTGAGCCCTGATTGCTATAATACAGTTTGTACCAATACAATATGCAGTAGAGAAGGGGTTTCATGGGGGACCTACCAGCATATGCATATTAATATTTAATTAATTAATGGTAGATCACCCATGAAACCCCTTCTCTACTGCATATTGATATTTTTGTCTTTAGGGTGGTGCCCCCCCCCCCCCCCCTCCAGTATAGGCATATCTATCCCACCTCATTAAAGCTGATTATACAGCCTCACTTGTTTGTGTATTTAGACAACTATAATACAGTTTGAAAATATATAAGTGATGTAGAGTTGCTAAATAGTAGCTACAAAAAATAAAAGAGTGACATAGCTAAACAAAATGTCCATAATGAGTCCATATATGTAAAATCAATCAATTTGTAATAAAGATTCTTCCATAATTCATGTGTTTTCTTCTTGTGCTGATATCCCAAACACCATCAAGTAAAATAGTGCACATAACATTGTGCCACCTCAGTGCTCACAGAACTCTCACCTCAGAGCACATGGAAATGCACTTTATGATATCAAATAGACAAAAGGATTCTTCACTTTTTCAATCCACAGCCATGTGATAGTGATCAGACACCTTTGCGCTTTCAATAGATTGTCAAACCAGAGCCAGGGATCAGTCCCTTTAAGGGTGATGGAGGTCACACATTCCTATCCTTCAAAGGGAACAAAGGAAACTTCCATGCTGCAGTATGTACTAATATAAAAAATTATTAAGAAGCAGTAATACACTCACATGTAGTAAATTAATAAAATGCCATAAAATCATCAGATGCCGCCTTCACTTGTTGTCAGCTGAGCTCACTATTCATGTCTGCCCAGAGCCAAGCCCCTTATACGTTACATCACGCCCACGTGACTTCATCAGAGGGTTTGCACATCATCGTCATGATCACTTTTGCATCACTTTAATAAATCAGGTCTACTTTGTTTCTGTACAAGAAGATTATGAACTGTGCCAGTCCGAGCAGCCTCCTTTTTTTTTGCCCACTGTACAGCACATGCTCTTTGCTATGCACAAGAAGGCAATGGACCATTCTACAGACATTCTGTAATAGATTGTCCAATACCTTTTTTTTGCCCAGCAGATAGCGATGTCATCCTCACTATGGGGCTCACAGAGGAATGAGCAGCTGTGTTTGTAGCCACAGCTCTGTGTGCAGTCAGTTGGTGCAGCTGGTATTGGGATATGTGGGAGCTGTAATTGCCTCCTAGATATGAAGACTGCACATAATGTTGGGATATAAAATAGTTTTATGTTCTCAGCAAAAGAATACAGTGAGCTGCTGTTGATAAAGAACAAGAAAAAAGTACAGGATTTTATCACTATAACCCATTTTTCCTGGTCAGTGGTGACATCTAGTGGTCAATATTTAGAAAGCAGGGGAACTTCGCCTCAACTTCTGAACAGGACCTATTGCGATGCACAGCAAGAACCTCCTCACCATGGGGTGCTCTTCTGGTGCCCAAAACACATATATTGTTTCAGCTGAAATAACACAATTCTTCCTCCCTTTTGGCTTTTATTCAGGAATCATCAGAAAGTACAAATACTACTATTGAAGACGAAGATACCAAAGGTATGTGGTCAACTTTATCTGCAACCAGACACAAATGTAGGACTTTTACATATTCTTAACACCATTGGGTGCAGGCATGTTTGTCTGAATGTAACTAATCCCTTGCAATACACGTGTACAAATATCAGAGATAATTTATCTCTATGTTAAAACATCAGTCTTCAGATAGGAGCATTTTTTAAACAGGGTTTAATTTGTCACTAGGGCATGTAGGTTATAACCTATGTGGCCTTTCTGCTAGTGGCGCCACCATGGTCACAGTTAGTAGGTGTCCTGAGAACTTGGCCTATCCCACAGGTTAAAGGATACCCTGCTGAGCAGCAGTAGGTGGCTTGTGCTGGGATACTCTGTAATCAGCACCAGGCACTGCTCTAGCTAGTGTTAGAAATCAGCCTGATCCAAAGGAGCAGAGCTTTACACAGAACTTCTTTTAGAACAGGTACCTCAGGGAGGGAAATGCCATTCTTCCTTTTGCCCTGATCATGTAAGGGATAGGAAAAAGATAAGTTTCGCCTTTTCCTGGGTGCTTGTTCTGAGAGGAGGTCTAAAAAGTAACTGCAGACTGGGAGAAGAATCTCTGCACACAGCCCCCAACCTCCACCTCCTCAACCCCCAGCTCCCTGTAGTACACCCCCCCCCCCAAAAAAAAACAAAAAACAAAAACAAATCTACCACTCCCCCAGCTTCAACAAGTACCATCAAGCTTCCTCAGTTATTATTATTATACAGGATTTATAGTGCCAACAGTTTGCGCAGCACTTTACAATATAAAGGGAGACAGTACAATTACAATACATTTCAGTACAGAAGGAATAGGAGGGCCCTGCTCATAGAGCTTACAATCTAAAGGAAGGGGGAGGTGATACAAAAGGTGATAGCTGTATGGCGATGTTCTGATGGAGGTAACTCAAGTACAGTTCTTAGGTGGAGGTGGGGTAGGCTTCCCTGAATAAGTGAATCTTCAAAGATTGCCTAAAGGCAGACAGGGTGGGGGCTGACCAGACATACTGTTGTAGGGAGTTCCAGAGGATGGGAGAGGCCCTGGAGAAGTCCTGGAGGCAAGCATGGGAGGAGGTGATGAGGGAGCTAGAGAGCAAGATGTCTTGGGAGGAGCGGAGTAGGCGATTTGGAAGATATCTGCGGATGAGGTTGGTGATGTAGCTATGGGCAGTGCTGTGGATATCTTTTTAAGCTGTGGTTAGTATTTTGAATTTTATACGTTAGGTTAGTGGAAGCCAATGAAGGGATTGGCAGAGAGGGGCAGCAGTCGCTGATCGGGTTGGGAAGGTGTATGAGTCTAGCAGCAGCATTCATAACAGACTGAAGGGGGGATAACCTGGGTAATGATAGACCAGTGAGGAGGGAGTTTCAGTAATCAAGGCATGATAAAACCAAGGCGTGGATAAGTTGTTTTGTGGTGTCATTGGTTGAAAAGGGGCGGATTTTGGAAATGTTGTGGAGGGTGAGGCGGCAGGATTTAGCCAGTGATTGTATGTGGGGCCCAAAGGAGAGGTCAAAGTCTAGGATTACACCTTGGTATGAGGGGAAAGTTATTTCCCATTTCTCTCCATTGCCCCTTGCCAGTCCCTCCAGCCCCATGCTTTGATACCCAGCTGCTAGCCCTTTGCATATCTGTAATCTTCTCAAGTATCTTGTACTCTTTCATTGCCCCTTCAAGAAGCCCCTTTGAGCAGTCTCCAGTCCCCTGGTTTGCCCCCACCTCTATGTAGTGCCCCCCTCCCCCAACGTCCTTCAGTCCACCTACCACCCCGCAGTGCCCCCATGCTTTTGAGTTCCTCCTAGTCTCGCCAATGTACCCAGCCCACCTCAGCTTCCTCCAGAGACTCTCTGCTCCCTCGGGCAAAGGGGGGGGGGGGGCACATGGTAGATGGCCTAGGAGAGAAAATAATATGGATTTGAATTTACAGCAATAATAAATCAACTATAGGTGTGGAGATTGCAGATGCTTCTTTGTGTTGGAGGCTAAATGTGACTCACCCTTATGCCCTAATGTAAACCTGGCACATATCCAATCAATTTAAACTGTACAAATGCTAAAACAAGTGCATATGCAGAGGCTACCTTCAGCAAAAGCTGTGTTTAAACAATCTGATCCAACGTTTTCTTTTAAAGGTTGTGTTAGGCCCCACTCCCTCATGTACCTTCTCCTGAACTTGTGTCCAGGCTATGATCACTAATGTATTTGCATAATCGCTTTAAAACAAGCTCTTATTCGTTTCTGTAGCTATAAGCCTTATGGAGAAATTTGTCTTCAAATTTACAAGATCAAAAAAATCTTGTTTTTTTTTCCTGTTACTTTCTTCCACAACAGAATCTTGGTAATCTGCCAACCCTCTAATATATACACTAATCGGGTGTTTCTAAGCTGCTTAAAAAATACCTAAAACCTGACTTTAGAGTTTGTTGTGATCTTTGAGAAATAATACATTCATATTACAATTAGTTAAAGAGGTTGGAGATAATTTGTTTTAAAGATTTTACTGCTTGTTAAGAATATATAACTAATAAATGGCCATAGTCTGGGCACAGATGGACTTTCTATCTGTTGGTCAGTAAGGCAACCCATCATTTTCAAGTACTGATAGGAAGGCTTATGGGGTAAGATGTTTGTAATCAAACATATTTTTTACAGAAAATTTGAGATATGTACAGTATATACTGGAAATTGAGCATCTTTGTCTTTGCAGCCAATCACTTTGACATGCAGTTTTTATTGATGGCGACCTGCATTTTTCATCACATGAAAAATTTGAATTGCCTAGTTTTGTGATAGGTTTACTGTAAGAATAAAATTAGAGTCGAATATAGTATTACTGTGCTTCTAGAAGCCTCTCTGCATTTATACATTCATGTGGCTTACAGAAAGGTAATGCCATAGATAACATTTGTCATTGCACTGTTCATACAATTACATTGCCAAGCTCATTTTTCTTACCATTGAATTTAAAATACATTGCTCATGCATGAAAGACTATATGAAAGCTATCACAACACATTTGAAACAGCAGTACATGCCCCCCATCCCCCCCCCTCCCCCCACCCTTGCATTGCAAAGGTTAATGGCTTTTTTCAACAAATGATAACATGAACAAATCACCTAAAAACTCTAAACACTGCAATATAAAATAATTGGCAGAAAATAAGAAATAAGGCATCACTCAAGAAACTAATAGTGAGAAAATAATCTTCCAGAGTGATAAATATATGAAGTATTATTAAAATGACAATAATTATAACATCATCAATAAATGTCTATACATAATTGTTTGTTTTTTGTCTAGGGGTAGAGGAATAAGCAACAATGTTTACCTTATTCCTCTTTACCCCAGCAAGCGGTCCTTTCAAGGATGTGGGATGTGAATGGGTCCTCAGCATCCTCACATTAAACACAAGCTTGCTGATCCTGCATTTTATGTGATGACATTGGAGAGACCACATCTAAATGAGTGGTGCAGAAGCGTTGCTTTGGTGGACTGGTGGTATTGAGGAGAGTAAGCCTGATAGAGCAATAAATAAGGTACAACGTTGTCAATATGGCTGCCTATTCCTTACCTCCTAGACCAGCCATTCGCAATCTAGGTTCCATGGAATTCTAGGGTTTCTCCAGAGGTTTCTAGGGATTCATTGAATTGTAGCTTACTGACCTCCCATTTTATCGTAGTCCCAGGGCCAAAACAATGTGCAGACTCAGTGGCGTGACACCAGTAATCTTTTTAACTGTCTGTAAGGTTGGCATTCTGACTATTACTGTAAAGTAATGTAAAGAATGTAATTGGCTTTCTTCCTACTGACCATCAATGTAAGTGGCATTTTTCCACTCAAACCAAGGAATTGGTTTTAGTAGGGGTTTTCCAAATCCTAAAATATTTTCAAGGGTTCCTCAGGGGGTAAAGGGGTTGAGAAAGGCTATCCTAGACAAAAGAAGCATTTAACCCTTCCACTATGGAGGCAGCGCCTTGTCATTGTTAGAGTTAACTACTGGATAGATGATTGTAGTGCTGCATCTATTACATTTAAAAGCACTGAGACTATTTTTAATCCACAGTTTAAATTGTAACACCTTAGAGCTGTGAACATACTGTCAAACAAATGTGTTAGCTTATTTAACAGATGCTGCAGAATCACTATAGAGCATCTCTCAAACTGAAGTTTAACTAAATAAAAATGATGACGATCCCTACCGTTTAAAAAACTATTTTCCAGGGCATGGAAAAATACTTCTGCAAGTATTCAATAGCAATGTGCCCAAACTAGAACTTCTCACAAAACATTTATTGGGACATTTTTTTTTTTAAATTTCTATTGATCTCTGTGTTTCCACTGGAGTGATTTCACCTTACTGCTTGAACCAGCAACGTGGCAGGATATGAGGATCAATCTCCCCATTGGGGAGACACACAACAGAAAAGCCTCACAGAGATTGTAAGCCTTCCATGCCCTATCTAAATTTAAAATAAAAATAAAATCAACAAGCAACAAAGAAAAGTTTTAAATTTATTGCACAAGTCCCTAAAAGTACTGCGTAACTGTTAATATTTCTGATCTCTTCTATATGCTATATATTCTATCCTAGCTTTTTCAACCTATTCAGCACAGAGGAACCCTTGCAATAACTTTCTGGTCTCAGGGAACTGCTGATAAAAATTACTATATCTACAACTCATGGTACATTCGCGTGATGGTCAGCTGGAAGAATGCTCCTTACACTTGTGGACGTTGGGAAGAATGACCCCATAACAGATAGCTAAAATGATTAATGGTGTCAGTGGGAACTTATCTGACATTCAGAAATTGCTCAATGCTCAAGGAACCCCTAGTAACCTCTGGAGGAACTCTAGGGTTCCATGAAACTGTGATTGGGAAACCCTGTTCTATACTCAGTCCTCAAGGTCAACAAACAGTGTGTGTTTTCTCTATTACCAGACAGCATCATAACTACATTATTAGGTCCTGTACATCAGCCTTTATGGAACCCCCGGGTACTACACCTTAGCTGTACACAGGTCCTTTAGTTCTGGCCAGGTCAACACCAAGCTTTGCCCTTTCCTTGCACCGTGATTCATCCCTTACTTTACAAACGGAAGACTCTCCAGTGACTACTGAGGTTCTGGCTTTGGACTGTTACGTGTCAGCATCAAGAAGATGCCCAATGCTTAATGACAGCTTGAGTAGTAATTATGGCCCTGTGTACAACGTGGATCCAAGGAGCTCTGCGGGAACACAAAGATGAAGAATACATTTTGATCTCGCAGGCACTGCAAGGTGTCTGCACTTAGCTATTATTAGCTAAGACAGTTTTAAAGCTCTAATAGGTTCACTTAAAGTCATCTAATTACTGTCCTCCAAAAGCTTAAATCATTTATTTAATTTAAATAAGCACATATCTGTATTAATTATGTAATGAAATGATAAGTATAAGCAATTCTGTAAACATTAATCCTCAGTAATTTAATTCTCCAGGATGCATAATTAGGGCATACTTCTGCAAGCTTAGATATTAGAGGTGACAATTCTGAGCTATGTTTACAATAGAATAATTTTATTTATAGCACATTGACACCATTCCATTGATATTTCCATTGACATCTGATCTCTAATTTAATGTTCACTCTTCTCGTGATTTCAGTGAGGAAGCAGGAGATTATTAAAGTGACAGAGCAGCTGATAGAGGCTATTAGCAATGGCGACTTTGAGTGTTACACGTGAGTATAAGTACACCTATACAAGGACACATTATTATTTAAATCATTTTTAAATTGTCTTTATCAAAGTTTCAACAAGGATAGGCATTAATTTAGCACAGTAACAATATATAGTATGCAGTCCATGAGGGGCTATTCTGCAACACGCTTTACAGATAGCTACTGGAGTATTCATTGTATATGACAAAATTAATGCCTCCAGAGCTGCTGTCACCTGAGCTCCTTGAAGCTTCTTCTGGCCATCTTCTGGGCTGATTTTGAGCTGTATTTTGCATTCACATTGCGTTGCTTGGAGAGAAAAGAAATTCAACCTCAAACAGATTTTCCTGTACACAAGCCCTTAGGCCTCTTTCAGTTTTTCGGGTGGACCTGATCGAACATCCCTATAGACTGACGGGTGTAAACAGGCTTGTGAATTTTTACACCCGCCTACCTTCAATCTGATCTGGTCCATTAAAAAAAAAATTGGAAGGAGAATTGCCCCTTCTGCCTAGGTGGGTTGGATCGAAAGGCAGTCAGGTGGACACAGACATAGGAGTTTACACCCGGTCACCCATAGAGCAGAGAAGGCTCTGTCCATGTCTGCTCTGCATAAACTGAGCAGACACAAACCTGTCATCTGCCCGCTCTGCTCTGATCAGCAGGGTATCAGCAGACAGATCCCCTGCTGATCTAAACGTAGTCTGCCCCATGTGAAAGGGCGTTATATATTTTGCTATATATATATATCATGCTTTATCCATTTTTTTTGTATTTTGTGCTCATTTATTATGCCAACTCAGAGAGAAATAGGGTTTTTTTATGTTTAACAATACTTTTAATAGCCCTGCTTAATGCATGTCCTACATATTAAAACTATACTAAGCTGCAGTAGATAGATATGAATTGCATAGGAAGTAATAAGATTTTCACTTGAACTGCTAGTTTAGTGTTTAGTGTTTTACTACAGGAAAATGAACAAAAGTGAATTGTGTCTTCTAAATTTTAATGAACATTTTTCTAATTGTCTGTTGTTCTACCTTCCAGTAAGATGTGTGACCCTGGAATGACAGCGTTTGAGCCTGAAGCACTGGGAAACTTGGTGGAAGGTCTAGACTTCCACCGCTTTTACTTTGAGAATTGTAAGTCAGTATTTAAATAAAGATCTCCTCCTCACCTGTTCCCCTACCATCTACATAGAACTCAGAGAGTTGTGACTGATGATTGATGTGACAGATAAGATTTATGTAGACCAGAGTTAAGGTACAGTACTGTGTACAAATTTTAGGCAGGTGGGACGAAATAGTCTAAAGAAAGAATGCTTTCGAAAATATATATTTTAATTGTTTATTTTATTCAGTTTATAAAATGCAAAGTGAACGAAAAGAAGAAAAATGTAAATCATATTATTATAGGGTGTGACTATCCTTTGGCTTCAAATCAGCATCCATTCTTATGCAGGCCATAGACTGGTCGAAAACCGGCCATTTAAAAAAAAAAAAATGAAAAATCGGTTGTTCAATAGGCCGCTATTATATTTGACATGAAAAAGTATTGCGGTTGCAACAATGTATCCATTTGTATCCATTTCGGATACAGATGTTTTTATTTGGATACATCATTGCTGGCAAAATGGGCCGATCGGCAAAATTGGCCGTTTTTTTTCCAACTTTACCGATAAAAAAAATGTGCCAAAATCCCGAAAAAACAGCTGACCAATTAACCCACTAACGTTGCAAAAATCAGCCGATTTTCGACCTGTCTATGGCCTGCATTACACTTGCAGAAAGTGAAGGATTTTGTAGGATTAGAGTCAGGTGTATGATTAACCAACTACACCAAGCAGACGCTAATGATCATCAATTTCATATGTAAGTTGAAACACAGTGATTAACTGAAACAGAAACAGCTGTGTAGGAGGCTTAAAACTGGGTGAGGAACAGCCAGACTCTGCTACTAAGGTGAGATTGTGGATCACATTCATGTCACAGGTCATACACCATGGCAAGACTGAACACAGCAACAAGACACAAGGTAGTTATACTGCAACAGCAAGGTCTCTCCCAGGCAAAGATTTCAAAACAGACTGGGGTTTCAAGGTGGGTGGCACTGCAGGGCACAGGTGGGTGGCACGCATCATCATGCCCTGATTCCACCCAACTGTGCCCTGCAGTGCCACCCACCTGTGCCCAGCAGTGTCACCCACCTGTGCTTTGCAGTGCCACCCACCTGTGCCCTGCAGTTCCACCCACCTGTGCCCTGCAGTGTCACCCACCTGTGTCCATTAGTGCCACCCACCTGTGCCCTGTAGTGCCAACCACCTCTGCCCACCAGTGCTACCCATCAGTGCCCAGCAGTGCCGCCGCCCATCAGTGCTGCCCATCAATGTCACCCATCAGTGCAGCATCATCAGTGCTGTCTATCCGCGCCACCTCATCAGTGCCTATCAGTGCAGCCTCATCAACGCACATCAGTGATGAAGAAAAATTACCTGTTTGCTAAATTTTATAATAGAAACAAAGAAACTTTTTTTTTAAATGTTTTGTTCTTTTTTTATTTATAGCACACAAAATAAAACACCCAGTGTTCAGTAAATACCACCAAAAGAAAGCTCCATTTGTGTAAAAAAAGTGATACAAATGTCATATGGGTACAATGTTGCATGACCGCGCAATTGTCATTCAAAGTGCGACAGCGCTGAAAGCTGAAAATTGGCCTGGGCAGGAAGGGGGTATAAGTGCATGGTAGGCAAGTGGTTAAACATGTCCAATAAAAAAATTTAAAAAATCAAATTGTCATAAATTTAGGCCAAAATGTATTCTGCGACATGTCTTTGCTAAAAAAAATCCCAATACGTGTAAATTGGTTTACGTGAAAGTTATAGCGTCTACAAATGGTTGTAAAGATAATGGGATTTTTTTTTTACTAGTAATGGCGGTTATCAGTGACTTTTAGCAGGACTGTGGCAGACATTCTAACACTGGGGGGGGAACTAAATTGGTGTCACTGACATCTCCAGTGACACCAATACAGTGATCAGTGCTAAAATAAAGCACTGACACTGTACTAATGGCACTGGGCAGGAAGGGGTTAATGTGAGGGGCGATCAAAGGGTTAGTAATGTGCTAGGAATGTTTTACTAGGGGGCATGTGCTTCACTGTAAGCACACTGATCGGTATGGCTGTACTGTGCACAGCCATCCAGAGCAGTGTGCCTGAACTTACAGGGAGAAAGATTGTAAACAAAACAATCTTCCTCCCTGTCAGAGATGCTCGGTAATCACTGGGCGCCGGCGGGTAATTACCCATCAGGACCTGGTGATTGACATCCGCAGCCGCGAATGGCGGGTTGGGTATGGCGCACATGCGGCTCGTGCGCGCCCCCTACCCGGAAATGCAAAATCACATATATATAAGTGATTTTGCGCACAGGTGACGCTCTGTAGCAATGTATCTGCTATAGGGCGGTCCTTTAGTGGTTCAAACCTGTGTGCAAGTGTGCCTAAAAGAAATCATGCTGTTTTGAATGCAAAGGGTGGTAACGCCAACTATTTTTTTTTTTATTTCTCTTCTGTTCATTTACTTTCCATTTTGTTAAGTGATAAAAATAAACCATTAACCACTTCCAGTCCGGACACTTTTACCTCCTTCCTATCCAGGGCAATTTTGAGCTTTCAGCGCTCTCACACTTTGAATGACAATTGCGCGGTCATGCAACACTGTACCCATATGAATTTTTTAGCATTTTTTTTAGACAGATAAAACTTTATTTTGGTGGTATTTATTCACCACTGGGATTTTTATTTTTTTTTGCTATATAAATGAAAAAGTCCAAAATGTTGTTTTTCCAAAAATGTCCAAAATGTATTCAGTTATCGTTTTAGTAAAAAAAAAATAACCCATATTAGTTTATAACCAAAAAATGTTTTCAAAATTTTTTTTTACATTTTTATTTTATTTTTTAAAATTATTATTTAGGTTTTTTTTTTATGTTTTAACATACTGTCACCCTAGCAGTACAGTGTCACCATAGTGACACTATACTACTTGTGGGGGGTGATGAAGATTTTTTTTTTTTTTTTTTTTTACACTGATTGCTTTTTCACCCATAAAGGTTGTAAAAGCAATAATTTCTCCTTCTCTCTGGCTGTATTCCTGCAGCCATTGAGAAATACTGTGAGAGCTGTGATTGGTCACAGCTTGTCACATGGTACAAGGCTGTTGTGATTAGCCTTGTACCATGTGACCTTGGTGATCATTCACAGATTTCACTAGTAGTAACCAATGATTTCAGAAGTGACATCTTGCTCATTACCATTCATGTGATCACTGATTGGCCAATCAGTGATCACATGATCAGGACCTCACACACAGGTCTCATACAGCAATCGGTGTTCTGCTGTGTCCGGAGGACACAGTGGGCACTGGATCGCGGTGCCGCGCTCTCCCAGGGAGCGTGCACAGGCTAAAATGACAGGCGCTGTCTATGAACGGCTACCCGCTCCTGCACTGCCACCGTCCGGCCCGTTTATATACATGGGCCGGATGGGAAGTGGTTAACACTTCTACTTCTGAAAAGCATTCTTAATTTACAGCATTTTTCACACCTGCCTAAAACTTTCTCACAATAGCGAATATATATATATATATATATATATATATATATATGGCGTGAATAAGCATATAAAGCAATATGCATTTCTTTATAATAAATCTTTTATAGGTATTTATAAAGCACCAACATTTTACACACTGCTTTATATATATATTGTACATTCACATTGGTCCATAAGGAGCTCACAATATAATGCACATACCTGTAAAGTTTGGGTACCCGCCCCCCCCCCTTGCCCCCCAAAGGGGTCAATCCTTAATGGGGAGCGGGGGAGCAGTCCTTAAAGTGGAACTTCCCCTTTTGGGTGGAGCTCCGCTTTAAGTAGGTGTGGCCCACTCAGTTCAGGCCACTGTTTCAGTACATGCCTGACATAGAACAATAAAATTTAACACAACCCAAGTCAGAATCACACCAACCTAGGCCGGAGTCCAAAGGGTTCTTTTACATACATGGTCATCATTGCTGTCCTTCTGAAAAGTGGCCTGATGTGAATCAGTTTTCAGAGGCATTTGACAGGTGGCTTGGAGGTAATCGGTTGTCCCCCTCACTGCCTATGTTAATTACTGAAAGCATTAGGTGCGGTTGCTGAGTGGTTTCAGCATGGTCCAATTCACTTAGGCCCTGTTTGTCAGTAGTACTGCACATGACTGGTACACTTTTCACTTTTCCCCAGGGGCGGACTGACCATTTGGAAATTCGGGCACTGCCTGAGGGCCCGGGGTCAGTAGGCCCCCGAGAGATGCCCCTGGTACCTTTTTCATAGGCTTTTCTGAGTTTAGACAAGGACACAGGGGCCCCATGATCCCCTATTGCCCGGGGGCCCCATGAGTTGTCAGTCCGCCCCTGCTTCTCCCTGAGCTTGACTAAAGTAAGCACACTGACAACAAAGATACTTTTAACTGCGTTGATACTTTATTATTTAAGCATCGGCCACAGCTTGATATCTATGAGTAATGAACAATAAACCAATAAAACATATCTAACACCAAGTCCCTTTTTAGCAGTGTGGAGTGGCGTATCTCCATTTTTTTTCCTTAGCAGGAGCCAATTCAGCCCCCAGCCGTCCAGGTTAGGCTCAGGGCCTACTTGGGCCTCCTGCTAGCAATTCCGCCGCCTCTACCAGCCACCTGCCACCTCAGCCCGCAAAAGGGATAAACGCCAGCTGTAACAAAAATATCACGTGACAACAAATATACTGGATTGGAACCAATAGTAACAAGGTGTCACTGAATTAATCACTTTGTAGTGAATAATTATTATTATTCATGGATCTGTTAAGGGTCCTTAAGGTGATGTCATAAATCTCCTTAAAGTGTTACTAAACCCCGGACCCTACATTCACTATAACTGGTCTCCCACAATACACACTACGTGGAAATTCATTTATTTTAGTAAATACTGTATAAACGGCTAAATACCTTTTCTCATCAGCAGTTAGAGCAGTCTTGTAACTTCTATCAGTGTTCAGCAGAGCACTGGTTAAAGCTTATAGGAGGAGTTTTCATTTTGCTCTAGGAGGATGCAGAA